GCGCACTCTCACACGACCGATGAAATGACTTTTCGAGAAAGGCTGCGCGACGTACTCGCAACTCTCGCAGTCTTTTCTTAATGTAAAATAGATTCGGATTGTCTCTTAATGGAAAGGGAAGGTGTACATAGGTACGGAGAGCGAGGCTCGAGATAAATTCTCGATCTTTCCGCGTGTCCAGGACAACGGTATTAATGAGATCTTTCCGGCAGTCAATGAGACGCTCGGTCAATCTTTGCGAGAAAAGATGAAGAGTTGAAGGAAATCCTTTCAGGCTTTCTCCTCGTTTAAACTGGCAGCCGGCCGATTGGCTCGTCGATGCTGTAGGTAGGTACAGAACTTTTCTATTGTCCCCGTGAATGATAGAACCAACTTAATCACTGCACTCCATTATGTCGGCTACCTCACATTTCTTTCTTCACCTTCTCGATTTCTTCCTTCTTTTCGCCTTATTCCCTTCCCTGGTCCTGTTATTCCCGTTTCTCTTTCACCTTCCGGTTTCTTTCAATCCCTCTCGCTCGTGCGTCATTTCCTCTCCCTCCCGCGTCCCCCCCTCCTCTCTCTCTCCTCCTCCACCCGCCTCCTTCGCTCGCCCTCCGATCGTTCATGATTCTTTCTCCCTCTTTACGATGCCACTCAAAAGGTTACTGCTGCCCGAAACGCTTTTCTAAGACTCCGGATCCCTATTGCCCGAATTGCTAGCTCGGGATTGATTGGCAGATAGAACGTGCCAACGGCCCTTGTAATTCTTAGGCAAACCTTTCCGGATGAATAAAAGGGATCGGCCCCGCCGAAATGAATGAAAGGTTTCTGGTTTACCAAGCGCGAGCGTGAAAATCCACCCTCAATGACACTTAAGAGTAAGCGCATTCGGGACTCGAAAAGCAATTAATGTGGAAATAAGGCACCCTACAAGTTGATTATTTCCCTAGTTACGGCACTTGACGTGTCTCGCGACGGTACATTATTATTACGCAGTATCATGTCAGTCGTGAGGAAGATTATCAATTTGGAAGAAAGCAGGTGGGGATACGTCAGCGTCGTTTCAAAAATAATCGTTCGAAGAAAAAAACGTATTGAACGAAGAGATCGTCTACGGCGCTCATCTCCACTTGAACGTACGAACGCCTCTCGGAGGAAGAGCGCTCGATATCCGACTTCCGTTACTTTCGGGACTTCGATGATCACCGGGAAGTCCGATCGCCGGCGTGTGTGCTCGTGGATAGTTAGTTTTAAGAGCCGGTTTTACGATAATGGCGCGAATCTGGTGCGGTCGGATAATCCATCCCCACGTTCGAGGGCACGTACAAAGACTAGGAGGAGCTCGGCTAGAGGGTGAGAACGCGGATCGCAAGACTAGAAGATGATCCTGAAGTAAAGGGAGCTCGCGGGCGAAAAACGCGGTAGGAGGTGAGAGAGCGAAAGCGAGAGCGAGGAGAGAGAGAGAGAGAGAGAGAGAGAGAGAGAGAGAGAGAGAGAGAGAGAGAGAGAGAGAGAGAGAGAGAGAGGAGAGAGAGAGAGAGAGAGAGAGAGAGAGAGAGAGAGAGAGAGAGAGAGAGAGAGAGAGAGAGAGAGAGAGAGAGAGAGAGAGAGAGAGAGAGAG